TCCAAATGCATTGCCATATTATACGTATACAATCCTCTCCATCTTATCGTTCTTTTTACATATGGCTTTCAGTCAATGCTAGCTACATTTGGAATTATATTAAGGCGGCTCTATGTGATTAAAATTGGGCTATTTTTAACAAGTATACCTCCATTACTACTACGCCTTTTAATACAGCCTGCTCTAGGTTTATGACTTTTTCTTCATCACAAGCTGCATCTTTGGGAACAGTCAATTTTCGGAAAAATAGTATTAAGGTGGCTCTACACAAGAAAATCTATAATACGCCTAATGCTCCGTAGGAGAGCTACCTTAAGCGCGTTACAGATACGACTTAGTCTGTTGTTACATACCGTGTTTATTTGTACAAGTGTGGTATGTTTCGTAGTTATCGGAGTAAACCCATCAGAGTTATTTCGACTTGTATCTTTAAAATAGCCAATGTTCGACGGGCAATAGCCACCTGAATGTTTATCAAAAAGTGGTTATATTTCCAAAAACACTATCTATTGGACATTTACATTGACGTGTCCAACACTAAAATCCTTATCTGGAAACTTTAAGGAGAAATACGTGTGTTTATACATGTAATTTCGCGCCTAAATTTTTTCTAGATTTCTGATCTCATTATGGCAAGTGGATTGACATATTACACGTATAAAACATCTCTATCTTACTGTCCTTTTTACATATGACTTTCGTTCCGGGGCACAGCGATGTACTTGGCCCTTTCATGAGGATAGCTGTATCATAGCTACATTTGGAATTATATTAAGGTGGCTATATGTTGCTAAACCCGGGCTATTTTTACCATGTAAAACTCCACTATTATTAGGCCTTTTAATGCAGCCTGTGCAAGGTTTGTGACTTCTTTCTCCATCAAAAGCTGCATGTTCGTGTGTAGTTGAATTTTGGAAGAAGTGTTTAGGTGGCCATGGAAGAGAAAATCCATAATACGCCTGGTGTGCCGTAGGAGAACCATCTTAACTTTTTTGAAGATGAGCCTTCCTGTATCAGTTGAACTTGATTATGTCTTGAAGTGTTACACATTTTATAGAATCAAATTAAAGGCAGAAGAGTTACTTCTATTTGTATTTTTAAAATAGACAATGTTTGACGGGCAATAGCCACCTGAATATATATCAACAAGTCGTCCAATTTCAACAAGAACTAGCTACTAAACATTTAGATTAACGTGTCGAAAACTAATATCCATAGCTGGAAACTGGAAGGAGATATACCTGTGTTTATACACCAAATTTTGAGGCTAAACTTTTTGTAGAATTCTGATCTCATTATTGCAAATGGATTGCCATATTATACGTATACAATCCTCTTCACCTTATTGTTCTTTTTACCTGACTTTCATTCTATGCGCGCTACTTTTGGAATTATATTAAGGTGGCTATATGTGACTAAACTTGGGCTATTTTTACCAAGTAAACCTCCACTACTACTTGGCCTTTTAATACAGCCTGCCCAAGATTTGTGACTTTTTCTCCATCACAAGCGGCATCTTTGGGAATAGTCGATTTTTGGAAAAAGTATTAAGGTGACTCTACACAAGAAAATTTATAATACGCCTCATGTTCCGTAGGAGAGTTTCCTTAAGCGCGTTAGAGATGCAACCGAGTCTGTTGCATTACCGTGTTTATTTTTACAAATGTGGTATGTTTCGCAGTCATCGAATTAAACACAGCAGAGGTATTTCAATTTCTATATTTAAAATAGCCAATGTTTGACGGCCAATAGCCACTTGAATATATATCAAACCGTGGTTTTATTAAAAAAAGACTATCTACTGGACATTTAGATTGACGTGTCCAAAACTAAAATCCATATCTGAAAACCGTAAGGAGATATACGTGTGTTTATACATGTAATTTCGCGGCTAAATTTTTTCTAGATTTCTGATCTCATTATTGCAAGTCGACTGACATATTACACGTATAAAACCTCTCTATCTTACTGTTCTTTTTACATATCACTTTCGTTCCGGGGCACAGCAATGTACTTGGCTCTTACATGAAGAGAGCTGTATCATAGCTACTTCTGGAATTATATTAAGGTGGCTATATGTTGCTAAACCCGGGCTATTTTTACCAAATAAACCTCCAGTATTATTAGGGCTTTTAAACCATCCTGCGCAAGGCTTGTGACTTGTGTCTCCATCAAAAGCTGCATGTTCGTATATAGTTGAATTTTGGAAAAAGTCTTAAGGTGGGTATGGAAGAGAAAATCCATAATTCGCATGATGTGCCGTAGGAGACCCGTCTTAACTTTTTTGGGGATGAGACTTGGCGCGTATGTTAAATTTGATTATTTCTAGAAGTGTGATACATTCTATAGAAATGGAATTGAAGGCAGAAGAGTTATTTCCATTTGTATCTTCAAAATAGACAATGTTTGACGGGCAATAGCCACCTTAATATATATGAACAAGTAGTCCTATTTCAACAACAACTCTCTACTGAACATTTAGATCGAAGTGTCCAAAAATAAAATCCATATCTTGAAACCGTAACGAGAAATACCTGTGTCTATACAAGTAATATTAACGCTAAATTTTTTTGCAGATTTCTGATCTCAATATTGAAAGTGGATTGACATAGTACACGTATAAAAGCCCCTCTATCTTATCGTTCTTTTTACATATGACTTTCGTTCTGCAATGTTTTCTAGTTATATGATTAAACCCGGCCTAGTTATTTTGATTTATTTCTTTAAAATAGACTATGCTTGACGGGCAATAACTACCTTAATATATATCACCATTTAGTACAATTTCAACAAAAACTATCTACCCGACATTTAGATTGACGTGTCCAAAAATAAAATCTATATCCGGAAACAGTAAGGAGAAATACCTGTGTTTATACAAGTAATATTAACGCAAAATTTTTTTGCAGATTTCTGATCTCAATATTGAAAGTGGATTGACATAGTACACGTATAAAAGCCTCTCTATCTTATCGTTCTTTTTACATATGACTTTCGCTCTTGGACACAGTAATGTAGATGGCCTTGAACTGAGTTGAGTTGTATCCGAGCTACTTTTGAAATTATATTAAGGTGGCTATATGTGACTAAACTTGGGGTATTTTTACCAAATAAACCTCTATTACTACTAGGCCTTTTAATGCAGCCTGTCCACGGTTTGCGACATTTTTGTCCATCAAAAGGTGCATCTTATCCAATAGTCTATTTTTGGAAAACGGCATTAGGGTTGCTCTACACAAGAAAATCTATAATACGCCTAATGTGCCGTAGGAGAGCTACCTTAAAATCGTTAGAAATTGGACTTAGTTTGTTACATTACCGTGTTTATTTCTTCAGGTGTGGTATGTTTCGTTGTAATCGGGTTAAACCCAGCAGAGTTATTTCGATTTGTATCTTTAAAATACACAATGTTTGACGGGAAATAGGCACCTGAATATATATCAACAAGTCGTCCTATTTCAACAAGGACTTGCTGCTGGACATTTAGATAGACGTGTCGAAAACTAAAATCCATATCTGGAAACTGTAAGGAGATATATGCTTGTGTTTATACATGAAATTTTGACTCTAAACCTTTTGTAGATTTCTGATATCATTATTGCAAGTCGATTGACATATTACACGTATAACACCTCTGTATCTTATTGTTCTTTTTACATTTCACTTTCGTTTTTGGGCACAGCAATGTACTTGGCCCTTTCAAGAGTTGATCTTTATCATAGCTACTTTTTAGAATTATATTAAGGTGGCTATATGTTGCTAAACTTGGGCTATTATTAACAAGTAAACCTCCAGTACTATTATGCTTTTTAATGCACCCTGCGCAAGGTTGGTGACTTCTTTCTCCATCCAAATCTGCATGTTCGTGTGTAGCTGAAAAATCCATAATACGCCTAATGTGACGTAGAAGAGCCTCCTTAAATATGTTCGAGATGAGTCTTGGTGTGCCAGTTAATCCCTACTAGTTCTATAAGTGTGAAAAATTTTGTTGAAATCAAATGAAAGGCGGAAGAGTTATTTCCATTTGTATCTTTAAAATAGATAATGTTTAACGGGCAATAGCCACCTTAATGTTTACCAAAAAGTGATTCTAATTTTAAAAAAAACTATCTACTGTACATTTAGATTCACGTGTCCAAAACTAAAAGCCATATCTGAAAACCGTGAGGAGATATTGGTGTGTTTATACATGTAATTTTGACGCTAAATTTTTTGTAGATTTCTGATCTGAATATTGAAAGTGGATTGACATAGTACACGTATAAAAACCTTTGTATCTTATTGTTCTTTTTACATATGACTTTCGTTCTTGGACACAGCAATGCACTTGGCCTTGAGGTGACTTGCCTGTATTGGAGCTATTTTTTTGCATTATATTAAGGAGGTTATATGTGGCTAAACTTGGCGGTATTTTTACCAAATAAACCACACTTAGTACCATGTCGTTTAATGCAGCCTGCTGAATGCTTCTGACTTTTTTCACCATCAACAGTATACAATACAATAACATTTATTTAACGTGATCAAATACACTTAGCTACAGAAAAAGCTAATTTACAGGTATTGCCACGATAATATTAATTGTTTATAAGACTATAGTAAAAAGAAGACTAAATTAGATTATACTTTGTTAGATCTTATTGCTACAAACTTCTCACAAAACATAAGCCGCTCTGGTGTAGTGTGTACCGGTTTGAGTGATCATGAGATGGTTTACTGTATTAGGAAAATTAACTGAAAGAGGCCACTAGAAAGGATTAGAACAGTAAGAAATTATGCAAAGTATGATGCGCCAAAGTTCTGCGAGGATTGTGTTAATGTCTTTAACAATACCCTAGGTACATCATGCTTATCCGTTAATGAACTTTGGTCACGGTTCAAGTCACTCTTTACTGAAATAGCTGATAGGCATGCACCGTTAATGAATAAGAAAGTAAGGTCTAATCACCCTTGTGCATGGATAAACAGCGAGATTAAGGAAGAAATCAGACAGCGTGACCATGAACTTAAAAAAGGCTAGGAAATCTAATTCAAATGAAGATTGGGCAACATACCGTAGGACTAGAAATATAATAACAAACAGAATCCGCTCAGCGAAAGAAAAATATCATAGGAATTTTATTTATGACAATAGTCATAACCCACGATCGTTTTGGAAAACTATGAAAAAGGTCTTTCCTGTAGAGAGTAAACATGTGGCGACCAGGGATGCCGGAAGATCGATATTAGCGGGGGCAGATATTCATATATTCTTGTTCACAGACTGTAAAAACAATCGATTTCAAAAGAAATTAATTGGGCAGAACAGGAATATATGAATATCTGCACCCGCTATTATCGATCTTCCGGCATCCCTGGTGGCGACTAATACATTGATTGATGGAAAACTGAGTAAAGATAAACAACAAATTGCTAACGCATTTGGTGTATACTTTACTGAAACAGTATCGCGGCTGCACCAATCGCTTAGTAATCTTTGTAAAAACATCGGAAATATTACATCGCAGTGTTTTTTCAAACGTTTAAATAGTGGTTTTGTATTTAAATTCGAGGAAGTGAAAGAGCAGTTTATTCTAAATAATTTGCGTAAAATTGATGTTAAGAAAGCAGCTGGATTAGATAATACACCACCACGACTTCTGAAAGACTCCGCTAATGTTATTGCCAGACAACTCACAAAGATCATTAACGTATCCCTCGAACAAGGAACAATGCCTGATGATTTCAAACTTGCTAAGGTAATTCCTGTTTTTAAGAAAGGACAACCCGGATATATGGACAACTACAGACCGATCTCAGTTCTTCCCACAGTGTCTAAGCTATTAGAGAAAGCAGTCCATGATCATGAGCAGTTGTATAGATTTTTAACAACGAATCATCTCTTGAATCCTTACCAGTGTGGTTTCCGTAAATATCACTCAACGGAAACTGCGGTTATTTCTCTCACAGACTCTATTCGAAGGAACATTGACCAAAAGATGCTTACAGGAGCCATATTTGTAGACCTTAGGAAGGCGTTTGACACCGTAGACGCTCCCTACTTTTGGCCAAGTTGGAGAGTTACGGCGTAGTTGAAAGTGAACTTGAGTGGTTTAGTAGTTACCTTAACGATCGATCGCAAATAGTTGCCTTTCAGAATATGCAATCATTGCCATGTAATATTTCGTCTGGAGTACCACAGGGGTCTATTTTAGGGCCCCTACTGTTCGTCTTGTTTATTAATGATCTTCCAGCAGCTGTTCAACAATGCAATGTTCTGATGTATGCCGATGACACGGTACTTTTCTTCGCAGACAGGGACAGTGGTGTAATACAGAATGTGTTAACAACCGAGCTAGAAAATTTGAGAGCTTGGCTGATGGAAAACAAACTGTCTCTTAATAGGAAAAAAACAGAGACGATGTTGTTTGGAACTAATGCAAACTTATCAAAGGTAACTAATTATGAGCTCTCAATTGATGGCTTTCCATTGAAGCGTGTAACTGATTATTGTTACCTTGGTATTACTTTAAATGCAAATTTGTCTTGGCATTCACATGTTGATAATGTAGCAATGAAAGTGGGCAGAAGAATTGGCATGTTACGTCGACTACGGAACAACCTGACCCTAAATGCGGCGGAAACGGTTTATAAGTCGTTCATTCGCCCTATTATGGAGTATGGGGACAGTATTTGGACGTGCTGTGGTGAGCAAAACAAAGGAAGGCTCGAGATACTCCAAAAGCGTGCTGCCAGAGTGATTTCCAGGTACACGCGAAGTGATGACGCAATGGAAAGTCTCAGATGGGACAGCTTAGAATCAAGAAGAGACGTACATGTTCTCAAACTGGTTAAAAAATGTATTCTAGGGAAATGTCCACAATTTTTTAATAATTATTTCGTTTTTAATCGTGACAGTTCCTCGCGAATAACAAGACAATCAGACAAACTTCGTTTGCCTAAAGTAAGAACCGAATGTGCAAAGAATTCGTTTTATTATGGATGCAAGGTTTTTAATAAGTCTAATTAAGTCGATCGGGACATATAGATAGTTAGTTCATTGTAGGGTTTTTAGATAATTTTATACTATTTTAGATAAAACTGTATTGTAGATATACTGTATATTTTTCAGGGCCCCTAAGGATAACAGTGAACATTCACTGATTGGGTCACCCTGTGTAAATAAAGTGGGTTTTTTTACATACATACGTCGAACATGTCTGTCAAATGTGTTTAAATATATATTTTGCCAAATACTTTGAATTACGTTTCCCACACGAGAACCGCAATGTTAGATATAACATTATATTTTTATACACATACTATAGTTGGCTAAAGTGTATGTAAGTAATAATAAAATATAGCAACTCCAATGTAATATCTAATATATATATAAGCATCCTACACCGAATGACACCCCACACCATCTGACAACCATCTGACACACTTCGACCATCATACACAATCTGTACCATCTTCACCATCTGACAACCCTTCCCTGTATAACCACCCTACACCATCATACACCATCTGACAACCATCTGACACACTTCGACCATCATACACCATCATACACCATCTGACAACCATCTGACACACTTCGACCATCATACACCATCTGACAACCATCTGACACACTTCGACCATCATACACCATCTGTACCATCTTCACCATCTGACAACCCTTCCCTGTATAACCACCCTATACCATCATACACCATCTGACAACCACCTGACACACTTCGACCATCTGACAACCATCTGGCGCACTTCAACCATCATACACCACCGTACACGATCTTCACCATCAGACATAACAAATGCCTGTATTGGACATTACTCCCGCATATAGTCATCATAAACCCTTCCCTGTATAACCACCCTACACCATCATAACTATCATACACCATCTGACAACCATCTGACACACTTCGACCATCATACACCATCTGACAACCATCTGACACACTTCGACCATCATACACCATCTGCTCCATCTTCACCATCTGACAAGCTTTCCCTGCATAACCACCCTACACCATCATACACCATCTGACAACCATCTGACACACTTCGACCATTATACACCATCTGACAACCATCTGACACACTTCGACCATCATACACCATCTGTACCATCTTCACCATCTGACAACCCTTCCCTGTATAACCACCCTATACCATCATACACCATCTGACAACCACCTGACACACTTTGACCATCTGACAACCATCTGGCGCACTTCAACCATCATACACCACCGTACACGATCTTCACCATCAGACATCAAATGCCTGTATTGGACATTACTCCCGCATATAGTCATCATAAATGGATGATAAAAGGGTAAACAACATTTATACAAGGAATCGATATAAAAAAATAAAAATAAAAAAGGACTATTGGACAAAACCGTAGGGTATGGTAGTAAAATCATCGCGAATAATACGTTTGTCAAATGTAAAACGAAATTTCAATTTCCCTTGTTGAACCGCTATTGTTTGACTATTATCCCTAGTAAATTCACGATATGTAATCTCGATATCCTTTTTTTTATCATGCACACATGTAACGATTGAATCAAATGTTTGTTTTTTTTGCGTCTCCCTTTATACTAAAACCTTTAACATGCACTATTTCATCACGTTGTTTTGTTTCGGAACCGTCTTCGTTTTTATGTGTGTACTCGTTTGTACGATAATCATATGATTTCGGACCTGTTGAACAAAATTGTTCGATCAATTTTTCACTGCAGTTTTTTCTGCTAATTCATCGCTCATTTCCACTAAATATTGACCTGTTTGTATTGTCCGCCCTTTATTTTTATTTTCAACAAAAATAACAGAATCTGTATCATAATACAAAAAACTATCCTGAAGTTTATGCAACACATTTAATAATTCAAGACGTGTATATGCAGTAACAAACGACGCAATAATGACATTACGATTTGCTAAAGGTGTAAGAGATGAGTCCTTTCTGTGTGTAGTACGTGCAGTATTGTCGGAAATAAAATCTAATGATGTCACATCGATACTATGATCATTTTACCAACTCTAATGATTCGTCCATACTTTCTATAAATGATACAACTCTTGTGTCTTCATTTTTAGCGAATTTAATAATGCTTTCATCACTGTTCTTTGACCGGGATTGTAACATATTTTATCGGCATCAAATTGTATTTGCTCATGTTTCTTATACTCTTTGATGTATTCCGCTAATTTCTCCTTTACAACATTACCCTGACTATCTAAACAATGTTTAGATATACCGCTACTTTCCTCTTTAAGTTTCATGAAGGTGTGGACATATGTATCAAATATCTTCTGTCTATTGCAGAAATGATACATCTCGTATATCTCAAGTATTTTATAATCGTGTTTTAGAGCTGTTTGAACTTCAATACTAGTCCAAGTACCGTAAAGTGCACGTTCTTCTTCCTTATGTTTACACAATGTACATTGTTGTTCATTCGCACATGTTCTACACTGTAAAAACTGATTGGTCGAAATGACAAAAATAATTGGTCACCTGGATGCATCTGAGAGAACCAATTAAAAATGGTTGTTTTAACCAATAAAATTAACCATTAATTAATTGGTCATTTCAACCAATAATAATTGGTTATATAACCAAATATTTTTGGTTGTTTTGACCAATTAATAAAATGGTTAATTTTATTGGTTTATTGTCATTTCGACCAATTTAATGTCACAACCTATACACTGCATTAAAATAAGACAATTTGTGAGCCATACATCACTGAACATGTGTACATGGAATTTAATAAAAAATATATCAGTATAATATAAGACAATTAAATAAGCTAGAGCTACTGGTACCTGTATAATGCATGCAATCATTGGGAAATTGTAGACAAAATGACTCCTACATATTGGAGTAAAGAAAAGTCCCTAACTAACCTTAGAAATCAATAAAGACATTCAAGTCAAAAGAATTTATTCTCCCTACAAGTTAGGTATATTATGACAGGAAATACAATTGCTTTAGTATATAATGATACATTCTTATGCTTAATAACATTCTCTGAATGAAGTTCTAAGTCGACTAAGATCAAATTTTGATTGGAATGATATCATGACTACATGATTGTGTAAAATATGATGGATTGCAGGAATGTTGCAATTAGCCAATATTAAATATGGGCTACTTTAGTAAGGCAATAATAGCAGACTGATCATGTTTTTTGTAGACGGATATTTCAAATGGAAGCTGTGTAGTTAACATGTGTTTCTTAGAACTATGTGAGAGCAATTGCAAAGGATTACAATTGCTGTGCTGAGTGGTTATATTAATCCCTGAAAAAAACAAGCAGTATAATTATACCACGATGGTGGTGTCATTGGTAGTATATTAAATAAACTGGGAAGACACTAGTATTGTATACATGAACTCTTGGTTAGCTTGATGGATTCTTGGTGCTTGGACTCTCGGCTGTTCAGAATCACAGGGCAGCAGGTTACATTCCCGGCACAGTACTTATTACATAGTTATTGTTTAAAATTTCCATTTACAGAAATTAGGCTTTAACCCATTGAGTGACAGCACTCTCTCCCTCATGAGTAAAATTGTCTGGCATTAGACAGAAAAAAAATAAGGTAGAGCGCATTGCCACATAAAAGGGTAACACTCTCTTCAATGTAGAATGTTTGCAAGTTAGTATAATATACCGGTACTGCATGTAGTGTCACTGCTCAATCAAGCATGTCATACAAGTCCATTAATTTAGTTAAAATTTAAAAGCACAAGCTTCATACCACAAGTCAGCAACTCCATTCCTTGTGTGGTTTGTTAATCCATAAACATACTCTCCAGCAAAAGAATAACATTTTCCAAATAGACCATGAAGTACTTAGAATGTCATTAATGATTATATATATTGCCACTTGTTTAGACAACTTGCCTTCTCCTGGGAAGCTTTTATTAATAATTTCATTCAGCATCAGGATATAATTATAATGAATCCATATTAAATACAATCTCTATTAAGAAAAAAATATATATTAAGGTTGATATATAATGGTATCAAATTATTGATTGATTGACAATGAATTTCCTATTTTTGGTTAGTGTACAAATTAGCAAGAAATACAACATTCAAATGCTTCTACTTGACATTCTTAATGCAAGGCTTAGCATGCAATTAAAGTAACATCTGCATCCAATACAACTATTCTCACAGGTGCATAACAACTGTTTTTTCCAATATTCCTAATTAAAAAATATCCATATAATCCAGCCAGGTAGACTTAGTGGCTGTTTATATGAGGTGATGGCACCTGTGTACCTGAGCTGGCCCAGTTTTGGTGAGATTCTGACTTTGTTATTATATTCTATATATTTCAACTTGTGTTTTACTTTATAATATAGAACTGAGCTGGTCCTTTTTAGGAAGATGGGGCTTTGGTGGTGAAGCAGTTAGTGCACTTTCCTTTCACCTCTAAGGCCACAGGTTCAAGCCTCAGTGAGACCTTTCTCAATGTGCCTCAAACCCAGTCCTCATGTGAAGAGTAAAAGTCAACACTCTGTGGAAAGTTGTGGGTTTTCTCCAGGTACTCTGGTTTCCTCCTACAGGGAAAGTTGACAGGGTGGGTGAGGTAAAAGAGCCAACAGTAATTGGCATATGCTGTTGTGGTGACCCTGTCCTAGTTGGCAAAGCTAAATAAATAAACTTAAGATACTGCCTCAATTGACCCAAAATGTTGCAAATGCCAAACTAAGATTTTCCATATAAACTATATACAATGACCCAGGATTTGGCACAGTATTAATGCTTTGTTTAGGCACAATGTAATCGTCTAAATGACATTTCCCAATCAATTTGAACATTAACCCATTAAGCTGTAGAGTTTGAGTTTCCCCATTGACGAATAAAATAATTTGGCCAGAGGTGTAACTTAACATCTATATAACATAGCCATATAGTGCAGTGGGAGAATGGGTTGACATGTTGTCCCCTTAATTTATACTCCCTACCTAGGTACCCCCAAGTGGCCATTGTCTGATGGCAAGTGAATTTTATTCAGAGCAACTAATTTTTATGACCAACTTGCCTTGAGGGCAAGTGGTCAAAAAAGTAAAGTTACACCACTGCTGGCGGTAGACAAGTAAATAAAATAAGTAGGTCGCACTTGGGCACATTGCGACTCAATGGGTTAACTAGAGACATTGTCAGATTTTTTGGTTAACCCATTAAGCTGCAGAACTTCCCCACTGAGGAGTAAAATCGTCTGGCGTTAATTAAAAAAGTAAGAAAGATATGTAGGGCGTACTGGCACGCATTGCGGCTCAATGAATTACATTTCGAAAATGTCTGCAAAAGTGCGATGTCGGTTTACTTTATTGGAAAATGTGCTTCTATTATACGACTCAGTCTTGGTGATTTGTTTCGGCAAGCCTGCCCATCTACATAGGCTCATGTAAACAGACATTCATCCAGCAAAAGCAAGCTATAGCCAGGTTAGTTATCTGGGCTGGCTTGCCTCTATATAAGCAGCAACTTACACGTGTTTTAGGCTGACTGATAGGTGGGTTACCATGATAGCAAGTACATGCTATACATTGGGTAATTAAATATTGGGAAATGCTATCTGATGTGAATATATACTGTATACTAAAACTGTCTGTACTAGTGTTGGCAGTACCAATGTGAAAATGCTGTGCTGAGTGGTTATATATATTACTATCTTTAACAAAAACAGCAGAATCTCGACGTTTCGAATGAAGGCCCTTGGTCAAAAGTTATAAGTATATGCATTTCAAACAAATCACACATATATTAAATTATAGGCTACATGTCAACTTAGCAAATACTTAACAGAAAATACAACATACAGGTATATCACACAAATAAGCTATAGGATTTTCTTAACAACACAGATAAGTAGAGACTGTAAATCGAAAATTCACAACTGAACGTCTAGATGCCTTCGACGGCTCGAAGAGACTGTAGGCAAATACAGGTCGTCGATTTAAAAATATAACTACACAGTATATCAAGTAACTATCCGCATACAAATAAGTAAATACACAATAGACATACCTTTGAAAACAATCTCCATGTATTTTATTAGGTCTTTGGAACTTTATAATAGAAAATTTGAATAAAAATCGTTCCTCTTTGAATGTTTGCTCCGAAAAGATCGAACTTGGCGCTTGCTGTCAACAGATCAAATTACTACAA